AGTTCTTCCGATCGCGAACTATGGTCGATACGAAAACACATAACCCAGTACCCAGGTTGAACAATATTTAATTGCGAGCTGGTATGTATGGAATTTTCACTGTGACGTGCATGGTGCAGTTATATTGGCCATTTGGTCTGCTGTACTCCGGAGTTTGGTGGATCGACGAGGCGTAGTAACATGCACTCCAGGCTCCACCGAACGTCCCACAAAGCCGGATCTGGAGATGTGCGTGAAGATATGAGATGATGTGATCGAGAGACATCGAATTAACATGAAAGATACAGATTAGAGAGTATAGATTAGAGATTAGCATTTCACGTTTCACATTTAACATTTAAAGATGTGGATTAAGAGAATCACGAATATATGATGCTACTCGGCTATAGAGTGGTATTACCACGGAGTGTATGACGTCAAAGGTGTCTATGACAGTCTGTGCCTTGGTTTTTGCCTCTTGGCACAAAGGCCCAGACCCCCCCGATCGCATATCAATTCCTTTCTACCTCCCCCAAGGTACATGTATAGTATGTCGATTCAATCAGGTTATAGAAAGGGGTCATCTACTCATCTACAGAGAATGAAGATCTAAGTCGCCAGATCTACACCTTACCGTAAGACTACTACAGTATACAGTATAAGTACGACTATCATACATGTACTGTATGCATGCCAGGAAATATCTGAATCATTTAGTTCTCCGCCGCGTTTCACGATAAGCCCCCCGGGTAGTGTCATTTCCATGTCTCACCATGCAGGAGGAGTGGGACTAGGGTAGTCTTGTATAATTAGATATTTGTCGAGCTACGAGCTATGTTCTAAACGCCCATGCGCCCGGGCCATAGATTAGCGGCGCAGAGTTTTTATTTGCCACTCCCAACAAAACATGTGGCTGTATGGCGCTGGGTAGTAGTATATTGATATATTGCGAGTGTGCAGATTGGCGAAAACTTAAAAGAGTCTCGACTTTGAGGCGTTCATCTGACCTCGAAATTTCTGATCTGCAAGGTGTTGATCTCCAGGTTTGAGGCCCGCAACGGTCGTGGAGAGCGTCTCCAGTTTAATTGACCCCTACCATTGTCCAGATGAACATCTCGGTGAGGCGACATCCCGAACCCTATCCCCGTGCTCCGTGCACTTTTCGTGCCGTTATTATTTGCTTTTTCTTTGCCTTTTTCTTCGCCGAGATCGGTCCACTGAACCCCGAATCAGCTCACTGGCCCGTATAACCCCCCCATGGTCGAAGCGCTGAAGCGGTCAACCCACAACCTATCACGACATTTATTCACTGCAAATGAGATCGGAAAGTTCAGCCTTAGGATCTCAGACCAACAACCCCTGCTAATTGATTTAGACGTTGAAGCACTACACCGGAGCGGTGAGCTCCAGGAAACCCACCGCGTCAACAGTTCAGACACTGCAACTTCCGCCGAGGGCGTTACCGTGGCTGAACCTTGCTCGGTCCCCTTGCCGGGGCATAGCAACGGCAAAGTCACCGATAGCCCTCTTCCAACCCCAATATAAGCTTCTCTGCTCCATCCTAGTCCGATAAAGCACCCACACGCTTTGGGCAGCGGGCTATCCTGCCCTCCAGCACGCCAAGCGACTACACTAATGCAAAGCAGAAGCAGAAGCAGCAACCATGCAATCCAGAACACAATTGTGAGGGGCATCGATGAGGGGCAACACTTCTCCTATTCCTGGAGAGCTCAAGCTACTAGCTACCCCGCGGGCAGACCGTGGGGAGTCGCGTCCGCGTCAGCTCTCTGGATACATGGTCAACCTCGAACGCTCGGATATGAAGCGGACCCCGCGCAGATCTGGGGGCCATGCTGACTGCGTACGAGGGCTCTGTTCATACCCCGCGAGGGGATATACCCCAGGATTGAGGATGAGATGTGATTGGTATAGGAGTTTGTTGGCGTAGTTGCCAATGGGACCAGGCGGTTTGGATTGAATTGGTTTACTGTACTCGCTATCTTACCCAGAGCCGAAGCCAAAGCCAAAGCCTGGGCATAGTATAGTAAAGTCCAGCAGAGAGAAAAGAAACCATCATCCGATTAGAATATTCCCAAGCCTACAGAAACATGAAGATGTGATTTCAACATCCGCCTCCACAAGAGCGAGAGCAAGTTGAAAATTACATGGTCAGCTCACCAGCTAACATATCAAGACATCCACACACCACTAATTTTCATTGCCTGTTGCACAGGGTGCACAGCGTCCACCGTTTCGACCCTTTTCACCTTTGGGAAAGTCCCTTTTGATGAGAGCAGATACGGCGCCAGCGCATGATTGGCCAAGATGCATAGATAGCTCGCGCAATAAGAAATCGCACGCAAGAAGCGCATATGGGCTGACAATGCGATGTCGCACGTCACGCAAATCCCAAGCGCCTCTTCTGCACTGCACTGTACAGAGCACCTGACCATACCAATATCCCTGTAGGCCTCACACTTTATCCCAAGGGGAATCAGCACAAGCAGGACGCAAACTGTTGAGAAAGTGGCACCACATAGGACACTTGGCATGGTCCAACCACCCGAGGAATACCGTATATCGTACCAGGGAGGGGGAAGGCGATCAGGGACAGCCGCTTTAGTCAGTTTGGGATAGATGCCAAAAGTGAAGTATCCGTAACAGACAGACACAGACCGGGAGACACAGGCACGGGCCTTGCAAACATAGCCCGCAGGTATATGCGTACATGTAGGTAGTATAACGGCGACGACCAATAGAACCTCTCAAACCGTACATATAAAAACAACGCTAAAAGGCGAGGTATACTTCAGTGCCCCACGCTTATGCACATGCGAGACAGGCGCCCAGGGTAAATCGACCGGCCAGACTGGAGGCGCGGTAGTCAGTGCGCGATCCCGGAACTACGACTCGACGGATGGCTGTGGGGGCGTGGATAGCTTGAGTCTGCACTGGCCGTACACTAGACGCTGCATTAGTGCGGCGAACTGACAATGGCCAATGCATGGGCTAGAGGTCAGTGCATGGCATCATCTGTTTCGGTGTTGATTTCAGGGGCTTATGGTGGTTACGGTGGTTTTGTTTTTACTCCGATTCCTCCGAGACTCTTCCGCTGATACAGAAAAAGTATGGGGAAGATGTACAACCTTGCAGGTGTACCCCGAGCCCCGTAGGTCTCCACTGAATCGTATCTGCAATTGAGGTGGAAAGTGGAAATTGGATGTTGGGGCAGTTTCTGTTGTTTCTGTTGACTACCACCACGGCTATCGCTACTTACCACCACTGGCCCTAACTTCGCGGCAGATAGATTACCTAAAAGATAGTCGATGGCCAGGCCATCCTAAAATAGACCAGCAATCCAGCCCTCTAAAACAAACACGCCATTCTACTAGCTAAAGCATTGGCCTAATCCGTAGTTCCCGTTATCATGGAGACGGGAGAGGCGTTCTGTCAGCGCTATAACCAGGCTAGAACACAACACATCACATCACAGCCCCTGAACAGGCAGGAAATCGCCGGGTATCGATATCCGTCGGCGACTGAGATAAGGCGGGGGTACAGCGTGAAGGGAATTGGGTTGCGAATCTGTCACCCGCTGTACTATATTGTGAAGCGCTGAGGGGAATAGTGATCACCGTCTTATCAGTGGGGTATAGAGAGTCTAGAGTGTACGAACGGTGACCAATTAGTGTTTAATGGATCGTTTGGCGGAAATGGTTGATCATTTACGCTATCCTAGCTGGCTTTCTTTTCGCATACCGCGGGCTCTAATCATGATCAGATCTCCTGGTCTAGAAACAGAGGGCAATAGCGAGGGAGGAGAGAGTGAAGACGCCTTCAATTGCGGGGTGCATCTGCCACTTCATCATGCTCAGATATGATACACATGTTGATGTTAAGGCTGTAAGTTATGAGTATTCCGAACTGGGCAGGTCAATACATTATGCGCCATTTGTCAGGAGATATACACCCATGTCACTCCCGTACTGCCAACTGTCTATTCTCCTCGCTACTGTACGTCCCGTATATCCGGATAGACACTTGAAGCTCATCTTCCCCTCCCAAGCCACAACCCCAGATATCCAGCTCCCCAGACTTTCCCCACAAGCCCAGCAAAGTCACAAACACAACTCAACTCCCATGGCAAATGACATTTGCACCCCCGACGTTCCGGCACGCTCAGATCCCAAAGTCAATTGTTCTTGTAACAGCCACCCCCTCCTTCACCGCTGTCCAGGCCCATCGCCACGGAGGCGAGATACAGAGGTTTAACCTCTGGGATCCCTGGTGGCGGTAGCACAAACTTAGAAACTAGAACAGCACTGAAAATTCGAAAGATGAAGGTTTCTCGGGCTAGGATATCACCGCTCGGACGTTGTATCGCTTTGTCACTGGTACCTCGGGTAGGGGGACGTGTCCTGCATTGTTGTGCGCTGGCCATGAAGAAAATCCTTATAGTTGGGTTTGCAATGGTGGTATCAAGTGATATGTATAGAAGTGTGTAGAATAGAGAGCCTTTCTGTTATCTCTGTTCAACATAGATGGGGTTGCATTCTTTGCTATGCAGTTGAGCAATAGCCCAACTTGGATGAGTAGTTAAGGGCTTATACTGATGTGGCCGGTGTGATGATATACCCCAATGCTATGCAGTACGGATATCTTGAAACCTCTATGCTGATTCTCTTTATGCTCCCAACCATTAGCTATTGTGAATATGCGAATAGCTTCTTTGAAATGCACAAATATATTCGAATTGCATGTTGGGCACATATAGACAGAGGCGGTATTCACTGATGTTTCAGCTGACATGACTCGAACATCAAACTCTTCATTTGACACAACCCAAGTTCCAAAGGCACATGTTCTTCTCAATGACTTCCGGAAGACATCAAGTGGCACAAGGGAACAGTCCAAATTGTAAGGTGAAGCTGTAAGCGGGAGATCACCGGTGGAGCCAACTTCCCACAATCCACGGGTGACCTCACCGTCTACGGAGTCCGGGTGTTTACACTCTTTACACCATGTCAGTCCAAGGTCCGGGGATAGCAGACCTGGAAAAAGAACTAGTCTGCTCAGTATGTACACTTCCATTCCTTCTACCCCCCCTTACTTGGAACATCTGCTAACATTCCAACCCCTCCAGATCTGCACCGAACTCCTCTACCAACCCCTAACCCTCCTGGACTGCCTCCACACCTTCTGCGGCTCCTGCGTGAAAGAATGGTTCAATGCCCAAGCCTCGCGACGACCCTCCCCGAGATTCACCTGTCCCTCATGCCGCGCCGATGTCCGCGGAACTCGCCCAAATGCCACGGTGACAACACTCCTCGATATGGTGCTGGGCGCGCACCCCGATCGCGCTAGATCGACAGAGGAAAAAGCGGAAATCGCCCAGCGGTATACACACGGCGAGTCGGTGTTTCCTGCGGTGCCTTCGGGCGGCGAGAGTGCGGAGGAGGATGACGAGGACGATAACCGCATGTTGCAAGAAGTGCGGGAGCTAAGTCTCCGGGAAAGTCGGGCGCAAGCTAGACGGGAGACTCGGCGGACTGCGGGACATTCGTCGCGGACGAGGGAAAGAAGTGGACATACCGAGAGACATGAGGATGGGCGGTCGAGACGACGGCGGGAGGACGATGCCCGACAAGGCACGTTACGGCCTGGGGATTCCGAGCGGACGCGTCGTATCGAGCACCAGTCTAGTCTGCGGTCACTGTTGAGTCTGTCGTCGGATGCAGAGACAATGGAGGAGGAGATCTTGCGGCAGATTCTTGAAGAGGGCTTGCTGGATGATATCGATCTTGATAATCTCGGACCTAGACAAGAGGAGGAGCTGAGTGAGCGCATTGCGGATGCGTACCGCCGGAGACATATGCAGGGATCTGGCTCGAGACAGAGACAGGAGCGGAGACCGTCGCCCGAGGGGAGTGCACGAACGCGGACGAGGTCACAGTCGGCCCAGAGAGCGGAGGCAGCGCCTGCTCCGTCATCTCGTGAACATGGGGACAGACGACCACCGATATCTCGACCACATTTGTTTGACTCGGCTCCGTCGCGGCCGAGTATCTCGAGTCATCAGAGGCGCAATTCGGAGGTGACTGGGCGCCGACGGACTTCGCCTGTTCGGTCGAACCAGGCGTCTGCATCGGATGAGGCTATACGGCCTGCTGTTCGGGCTTCGAGTGACATGACCGCGGATCGGGTTCTTGGTTCGCAGACTGCGAGGTTGAGATCTGAATCATCTTCGGCTAGGACGCGGCGTGCTACTGAGTCGGAAAATGTCTCTGGGGCATGGATGGCTGCAGGACGAGAACGAAGCTCTTCCAGGCAGGTCTCTAGTCAGTCTGCTACCAATTCTCCGACTGTCGCCACGCCGGCAGACCACACCACTCATTTGTTGTCATCTCCACTCGTTCCTCTTCGATCTGAGAGGAGATCCAGGCCTTCTTCGTCCAGATCTAACATCCCGACAGCGCCCAATGTACAATATCCTGAACCGTCTATTTCATGTGACGGATGTGGAAAAAGCGATATCCAATACACCCTTCACAAGAGATGCACACAGTGCAAAGGTGGAAACTTCCACCTATGTCTACGCTGCTACCGCGAAGGACGGGGTTGTCTTCGATGGGACGGGTTTGGTGCATCTGCGCACACGACCTTCCAAAAAATATTATCATCCTCCACTCGACGCCCAGTCCAGATTCCCGACAGCGGTCATATACTAGTCTGGTTCAAATATCAACGCCCTTCAGAGACATCCCAGCAAACAATCAGCGGAGAGAGAGTCCTGACCAGCGAAAATCCCGCCAGCCGCCTGCAAAGCGGCCTCTTCTGTGATACGTGCCAATCGCCGGCAAATGACTGCTTCTGGAAATGCAGCAAATGTAACGAGGGAGACTGGGGCTTCTGCAACAGCTGCGTGAACCAAGGAAGATGTTGTACTCACGCACTACTTCCCATCCGACGCATTGCCCACAGCCCGCCCCCATCCACATCATCCATGGCTGCATCAGAACCAAATCCAAATCCACAACCCTCTGAAATGGAGAGCTACAAGATCCTCTCCTTCTCAACAAACTGCGACATCTGCACATACCCCATCCCAGCCTCGAACACCCGATTCCACTGCCTAGAATGCAACCGCGGTGACTACGACGTCTGCACAAACTGCTACCTGAAACTCGTAGCCACTGGCAAGATAAACAAAGAAAACGGCCACAACGGCTGGCGCCGCTGCTTAAGCAGCCACCGAATGATAATCGTCGGCTTCGAAGACCGCGAAGAAGGCCAACGCCGCGTGATCGTCCGCGATTTAGTCGGCGGCCGCGCCCTAAAAGACGAGCATGTCATCCAAACTCAGTCCCAATCCCAGTCCCAGTCACCAACCTCATCCCCAGCCACAGGCGGCCCAGTCGCATCCCCAGAACTGGGCATAGGAGACTGGAGCTGGAAAGACGGACCAGAGCGCAGAAAGAAAGCCTCACGACTCCGAGCCGGTCCTCCATCTTCTATCCCCGGAACGAATGTCTCAGCATCCGACCTCTCAACCACTGCTTCGTCAAGTCCAATCCAGAATATCCCACCTTTCCGTCGTTTCCCACCGGATGGCGGTGTAGGCCTCATCGTCCATGCTTTGTGGGCTTTCTACCCTGAAGATGAAGTTGAAGATGAGCTTGTTTTCCCCCGTGGTGCGGACATTACTGAGGCAGAGAATATTAACGATGATTGGTTTTGGGGGTGTTATGCTGGTCGGACGGGCCTGTTTCCCGGTTCGCACGTTGAGGTAGTGCGTGAGGTTAAGTAGATGGATGGTCCAAGTCGTTTTATGGTGCATGATTACGATTATGATGACCAGATTTATGAATTTGATGTCTTGCATTATGCATGGTTTGAGTGGCACTTCATTGTGTACTGTTAGAGTTGTTTGACTGTCTCAATCATAGCTGGTCAATCTTATGATCTTGTTCGCTTAATCTTTCGAGTACGTAGCTATTGACAAAAATGCCACTTGTGTACATGAATTACTGAAGCTAAAAGCTGTAGGTCTCAAGCACATCTGCACGTTGAATCAAATAGATAAAAGTTGCAACATCAGTGGAAGTACAATAAATTCCATCCTGGATATAGATCACATTCATCATCTCAGATCATGGTATCTCAAAAAAGTCATAAGAACATACAGGCATACAAACATCAAATATATACAAACGAGAAACAGAAACATTTACTCAAGAAGAGCAACCATCAACCGCCCATAATCCCCAGAAGTCTCACCACGCACCCGATCAACTAAATTCTTCCCAAAGCGATGCTGATAAGCCCGCTTGACCATCTCCTTATGATTCCGATCCCAATGAACACGAACAACACGAATAACAAGACGCTCATCCTTAGTTCCCATGCCACGCATACATTCATCTAGCAGGATCGCATCCCGCATAGCCGGATCCGTAGCAGAGCGCAACATAACAAGCAGTGCATCTTCCATATGGCCAGAATATTCCTTCTCGATATGTTTCTCAAGGGAAGTATTATACCTCGACTGGAAAGTCTGGCTAATAGCACGGAGCTCGGCATTAGAAGCGCGAGCGAAGATAGCACATGTCTCTGTGATATTCTTCTTACCCTGCAGGGAACGTACATCGGCTTCGATAACCTGCGGGTTGATAGGCATGGATTCCTCATGGCGCGCAGCGCGGATGACAGTCGCGAAGAGATCGCTCGTCTTGAAAGAGAGGTCGTTCTCGACATCCTTGGAGAGGGAGCGCTTGTATCGCATTTCGTAGGCGGTGCGAATGGCATTCATATCCGCGTTTGAGCGGCCCAGGAGGATATCATTGAGGAGCCATTCTTTCGTGCCTGCGCCGTCGATTGCCAAATGTACACTTTCGACATCGTGCATGAGCGGTCCTTCGACGACTGCTAGGAGTCCGTCGCCGAAGTAGCCGCCCGTCTCGGATTTGACGTCTTTGTATAGATCCCGTCCGAGGTGCTTGGAGTATGCATCACGGACAGCCGCCATCTGGAGGGGATCGAGACGCGCCAGGACTGCAATGAGGGCCTTTTCATCGGTTCCGAATCCCTTCATTGCTTTGCGCAGCTGCTCTGCCTGCGGGCGAAACTCGCCTGGCGCGACTTGGCCCGGGATGTAGCCGAGGGATGGTGTTGAGGGCACGGCTTGAGGTGGGAATGCCCCGCCTGGAGGTGGTGCGCCGTATCCGACTGGGGGTGGGCCCTGGGGGAAACCGGGTCCGCCGGGTGGTGGTTGGTTCTGGGGAGGGGCATAGCCGTGAGGTGCCTGGCCATATGGCGGTTGCGGGGATGGGGCGTGATACCCTGCTGGGGGTTGAGGAGAGGGCGCGCCGTACGGGCTTCCCTGGGGAGGAGCACCGTAGTGACCTTGTTGGGGTGGAGGGTAATGCCCTTGCTGAGGGGGGTAATGGCCTTGTGGGGGAGGGGGGTAGTGACCCTGTGGCGGGGCGCCATATTGCTGTGTTGGGTAGGGAGGCTGATGATAGCCTTGGGGAGGAGGACCCGAGGGAGGACCCTGGGGAGGTCCTTGCTGTGCGTATCCTCCGTATGGAGGTTCTGGATACTTGGTTAGTGCTCATGCCAAGGCTCCGGGGATATGTCTCTGAATGGGTACAACTTACGGTTAGGGGGATAGTAAGACATGATGTGAAACTGTGTAAGAGACAAAGGTCCGTGAGGGGTGTCTTATGTTTATATGTGCCTCGTTCGGCAGTGAGATTGTGGCGCAGTAAGTGGGGGCGTTCACAGCCTTGCCATTTTCTAGAACTGACGTCTGCCAATGTTTTCCGTAGGTTTCTGGCTGTTCTATTTAAAGATGAATATTAGAATATCCCAAGGCTGAGTATCTACTAGGTGTTTAATACAGTAACTTATGTACTGTATGTCCCCTCTATCAACTAAACAGTATCTACACTACCCCACTAGATCGGATATATAACTTGGTGGAGATCAACACTTCATCCCTTGATTAATTTATACGCAAACCCTGTTCGATACACTTATACTCAAGTTCTTGTATACGTATCGGTATCCATCACAGCTTCATCCATTTTCCAACCCCTCCAGCAACCCCCTTTTTCACTTCCGCCTCGGTAAAGGGCATATCAAAGCCGCCGGTGATCGCAACCCCATTCATGAGTCGGAGCTGGAAACAATCCTTCTCAATGGGTATTTCTTCAAAGTCTTCGGGCTGTAGCTGTAGCTGATCGACTGACTCGAGGGAGACATCGGCACTGGTAACAGAGAAAGACTGGGTGAAGGTGCTCAGCTTGCCCACGAAAATGTATTGGGCTCCTTCGACTTCGAATTGACCTAGGATTTGCCCTTTGTCGCATGTGAGGGTGCCGTTTCCATGAGGCATCTAATTTAAAATGTGAGTATATTGCGTGGGGATGATGAGAACCCTGGAACACACTTACTGTGAAGCAACGTTCCAAATGTTTGACTGACCGGAGGAAAGAATCAAGGGCGAGGTGGTCAATTCGTCCTTAAGGTGTCTGAGCGAAGAAGAGCGGTCAGTCTTTGGAATGTTTAAGGCGGGGGATATCGTGCAGTAGGTCCGATGTCATACATGCAGGCCAGTGGGGAGCTCTCTTGGCCTTGTTGATACATGTATGGTGTTTTTCACCTTATCAACATGCAGAACACGGCATGATATGCGCACTACACGGGATACTTGTCTAGGTACGTAATAGGAACCGTTGCTAGTTCATCCATACTGATTCCCGCATACGAGCTTGGAAATTCGATATATAGAGCCCCAAGGTTCCCGGAAAGACTGACGTACCTTTGGGGGCAGAATTCTGTTGTAAAATATGTCTCACATTTTCAAAGGTGCCGAATAACACTATTCAAAGGTACAAGCTGCGCTCATATCATTGGATAGCGTTCGCAATATATATTCGCAGCAGCATCCAGACCCGAAATTGATTTTCAACGCATGCAGTCTCACATGTAAATGTTAAATATCCCTTATAATAAAACACCATACTCCAATTTACCGACCCTGAAGCCCTACTAACTACTAAGTGTGCGTAGATATAAAGCCAAGCTTTTCCGCTATGATTCCTCTCGGCTAACCCGATGCGGCTAGCGCGAATCCCCTAAGTTTCGGCTTGCAATGCTGAACAGGCTGCTAGATTCCTCATGGAATGTTTTTGTATTGCATAGGCCATCCCAGGTCCATCTTGGCTCCGTAGGATCTTAGGTGCCACCTTGAATGATCGTCATGTCGACCATTCCCCAAGGCCGTCGGTCGCATCGGAAGTCGCGAACAGGGTGCTTGCAATGCAAGAGGCGAAAGGTCAAGGTAAGAAATCAATCAAACATTTTATGGGATGGAAACTCATACTTCTTTGCCAGTGTGATGAGACCCAGCCACATTGTCGCAACTGCAACAGACATGGGGTGGTTTGCTCCTTTGCCAGACCCTTAACCGTGCCATCTACATCTCAAGTGGACCTGGCAGAATCGCCCAGGTCAATATCTGGCCCAGAAAGTGCAGAACCGGTAATGGCTTCCAACACAGCTCAAAATTCCTCAAGTCTACCAAGTCGGCCAAGTCTACCAAGTCTACCAATGGTGAATCCCTTCTCTTCAACCCTTGCTGTTTTCGACTTGGAGCTTTTACACCACTACACAACCTCAACCTGCTACACATTATCTCGAAGCCCAGCAGTTCAAACCATCTGGCGCGATGTGGCACCGCGCATTGGATTTGAAATGCCCCCAGTACTACACACTATTCTCGCCGTTTCCGCGCTACATCTAGGTCACTCGGATGAATCCAGACGCGAACGCTGCCTAGCTCACGCGCAGATGCACCACAGCATCGCCGTGAAAGAAATGGTTCCACTAGTCTCATCCCTCGCCCAAGAGAATGGCGAGGCACTGTTCCTGTTCACCTCCCTGACGTGCATGTTCTCATGCGCCAAACCAACCAAAGCAGGCGATTTCTTAGTCCTATTTGAACAGGGCACACTCTCTGAATGGGCTCGCCTTTTCCGGGGAACAACAACAGTCATACAGAGTGGTGGTGAAAGTCTACGCAACGGAAGGCTAGCACCTATCTTCCTGAATGGATCCTATCTGGCAGCTGCTCATCGCGCACCACAGGCACTTGAGCATGGCAGACCACATATCTGGGAGTTACAAGAGATGATGCAAAGGGAATGTCCTCTTCATTTACCAGCTCGGAAAATCTATCAAAACACATTAGATGAGCTTGCGCGGACTTTGGGTGTTGCCTTGAAAGCTGATGCTTCTTGGAGGCTTGAGACTGCCGATGTGTTCCGGTGGCTTCTAGATGTGTCAGATGATTATCTGGATCTCCTAAGACAGGAAGCACCGATTGCTCTGATTATATTTGGATATTGGTGTGCATGTGTTCGACAGATTGAGTGGATGTGGTGGATGGAAGGTCTCAGCCAGCGCTTTATGACCCAGCTGTTGTCTGTACTAGACCCCAAATATCGAGAATGGCTTTGGTGGCCCCAGGAGATTATCAATACGACTCATGTTACATCGCCTTGAACACGAAAATACGAAGTCATGTCAGTAAAATAAGAGCCACCAAATGGACCGCCCTTTGGCCAAATACAACAGGGGTAATAAATGTGTACACGGTGCTAAGAAGTATTGGACAGTCTCTATACGAAAGCTTCGAAGCGAGTGTACCCTTTCATGCATTATTTCATCAGAGAAGTTCAACCCGTTTACAATCAAGTGGATCAAGTCTCCGCTTCAACGCCACAAAGAAAGCTAACGATTGGCGCTAGCGCTAAACGTGTTCCACAATACCGAGCCGCCACTTTATTTGGTATAAATATATCGTCCACCAAAAACACTTACTCACTAAGCATGATCATGGTTTCTCTTTTCCTTAAGTACCTAGGGCGCCACGGTATAGGATACTACACGTGATCTGATAAAGATCGGTTGGCTCTCGGTTGGCCCATCAGTCAGTTACGGCCCCGCAACTGATTGGTGACTAGCATGTCCGTAACACATTACTTGACAGTCTCAATTCCTATCAACATTTTCATTTTCATATAAGGGTTCAAGTAAATCTATATCTATCTTGAAGCAGGGCTTAACGTTGCACCAGATACTGTTTCGTTCTGCCCATAAGCGTTGCTGATCACAAACGTATACGCCGAACTAAGGACAGCCCTAGCTGCCATCTGCCTAATTGTCCAGATAGTGCCGCGGTACTTGACTTGCATGCCAACATGACATCCGCGCTAGTCAGGTGTTACTAAGCATTTATATACAAATGTGCCTCAACACGATCAAAGGACCTAGAATATAAGACTTACTGCCATTTTGTGTTTGTTCCTTGGGTATGCGAAACTATTGCGTGTGGCTATGGTAGGCAGCCGGCGATAGCGGATGCAGATTGAAGAACCTTTCGAAGTGACCGCAAAAATTAATGTTTGTATAATTTAAGCTGAAGAGAGGAGAAGAAGTGAGTGTTGGAAAGTTGGGAAGTTAGGGGAGACGATACTTAATATGCTTCTTCCTTGGCCTCTCGTTCCAATTCTTTATCAAACCACCATCTATCTTCATAGTATCACTAGGCCCAATCATCTATTGCATAATAACTTTAGCTCCTGCACTTGAGCTGTAGCCAAGAAGCCTGTAAGCCACCTACTTGTCTCTTCAAAAGCCATTATTGCAACCCTTCATGCTTTTAATACGTGGCACCTCTTAGGCTTCGCGTGTCGGATATCATGTGGTATTTTCATAGGCCCTGAGCGCAGGTTAGGTCAATTAGAGACTATGTCTCTCATCCATTAGGTGGGTGAACTAATACGAGGATTGTGCCTAACCGCTGCCTTATCTATCCCACTACTAATCTACGTGCTGTAACAATTGTCCTTCTTCCTCTAGTGCTTATGTGCTGCTTAGTTCCTATCGCTTTGCTTGACAGATGGTCTGGTGTGATCATTAGCTACACACTATGGAGGAAATAATAGAAGGAATATAGATAGAATTACTTAGTAGGCTAGATCCACTTAACTTATGCCTCCTTTCCACTGCTACTCGCCCCCCACCGTTAGCTAGTATTAGCGGGGATGTGCTAGCAAAGTACCAAGAACTGCCTAATTCTGTGCTTAGGGCATATAAAAACACCATATGATCTCAGACACACGAAGCCTAAGTGGTGCCACGTATTTAGAGCATGCGGGTTTGCAAAGTGACGTGTGAAGAGACAGGTAGGTGGCTTAGAGACTTCTTAGCTACATGCGGCTGAGATCCCGCGTTACTTCTAAGCCCTAAGCCTCATCCCATTGTTGTCGGTTTGAGGCTCCGCCAGAGCAATCAATCTACCCTGGCTAACTACCATGCATTATGTGTTCACTTCATCATCATGATCCGAGACACTAGATACCTCATACATCAGGTGATACATGGCATAATTCAATGATGTTAAGAGTTGCAACGCTGTAAAATTCATACTGATTACGACGGAGCTGTACGTCCAGGGTTGAGTATGTTGAGAGAGAAAATACGAGACGCAGAGTGATACGCTTTTTTGGCAGCCAGGGATAAGATAAATTGGCGATTGGTGTTGGGATAACCCCTGGGTGGAATAGTACTTTATACCCTTCTCTAGAATTACTATATCTAATACAAAAACAGTTGGACCTCGTCCTCCTGTGTAATATGAGGAGTCCTCAGTTATAGTCTCAAGCTATCACCCTCATCCGTCAGAGCACTAGCACTCTCATATTGCGGTTCCACCGTGGGTGTCGTGTTGTTCCCTAGCTCAACCCCCTCATGATCAGGCCTCGGGTGGCCGGGCTCATAATGATCTCGCTCCTCCCATCTTGTGATCCCAAATGCATCCGGAGAAATATGATAGGCTGGTCTTGTCGCTATAACTGGCGTCCGTGAGGAATGGGTATCACTCAAGGAACCACTATTTAGCCAACTACCACCAAGTACCTGCCGAACAAGTGGCCTGAGCATGGGGAGGCAGACTGTGATCATTGAACAGCAGAGTTCTGTTTGAGTTAGGACGACTTGAAATTACATTCCAGTCAGCTTGGCCCTTAAGTACATAGTTTAATGGGGGGAGAAGGAGGCATACATCCTGTGACAGCATTCTGAGCCGAGATCATAATAACAATAAACCGAGCAAGGCCCGCAAGGATCGTAACTAGCCCGATGGCGAATATCCCCGCTATCGTATAGAGTTGAGGTTTCGTTACATGCAGGTTAGGGAGGAGGAAGAAGGGCAGGACGAAGACTATTTTCTCAATTAGTCGCAATCAAGGGTAAAAAATTAGAGAAATAACCTCGTACGCGACATCTCTCCCATAATATTCAAGGCCCAGAATACACTGAATGTTTCCCTATTTGCAAGTGCGCTGCATGGGTTTTGTGGATTCCTAAGAAACAAAAAGATAAGTAACTTCAGCTTCATAATCAAATGGAGAGCAAACTAACCAGTTTATTGGAATCGGAATACACCACGCAAGAAGGATGATAAACGATGTAATGAATGCAAGTATAATGTATATGGTTACCACCCATAACGCGACGCGCAGCCGGGTCATAATTTGGGGAAAGAGGTAAAAATAAAAAACCGCCATGCTGAGTTTGGTAAAATATAGTCCTGTGATCCAGAAGAAGGCGCTGACATAAAGAAGCTGCATTCATGTTTAGAGTCTGTTGGAGCGTATATGTAATGGTCTCACCTCTTGCAAACTGCTCTGTGTCTGGAGATCATTCATAAAGCCAGTTCTAGCTCCACTGTTCACTATAATAGTGTACAGAATAGTTGATACAAGTATAGAACACCAAGCCGTTACAACGAGGCCCTCTGCGAGCAGACTCGGTGTCTTTCGGAGTGAAATTCGGACATATAACCGAGCTGTAACAGCGAGTGTGGCAAGGAAGAACAGAACCCAGTCTGATATCTATATATTATTAGTTCTACACCTTAGTTATACACTTCGAAGCCCGAATGATAGCTTGGGACAGAGGAACATAGGAAGTGACATACAATTATGGTAACTGACTCGGGGCTAGGCATGCTTCAGAGTGATCTGCTATTCGTATTAGATTTAATAGACTCAGAATAGAGAAGAAAATGGGTCCCTTGTCCACATTCTTCAACATACATATCTGCTATGCTTTCAACGGTGTGGGCACATAGTGAATGAATCGAAGGCGGTTCGACACACGTGAGCTATTTCTTGACCGGTCTGAGCTCTGCTAACCAACATTCAAAATCGTGATCTGCAATCCGCTGGATTACAGAACTTCACTAGCTCCTTAGCCTTTCTCATCTTCCGTTAGGAGCTGTTAGTGAGATTGTCCCGTAGACACTCAGCGAGATAATATAGGAAGAAATCGCGTAGAAGTTGATGACAGATTCGCGTCTCCAACCAGGCTTTTTCTTAGGCTCGAGGTAATTTTGACGGTAGGAAATTCGATCCCCATAAAAGGAGAAATCTATGGGATGTCAACTTTTTACCTGTGTTCCCCCCCGATATTTGCCAAAAAAGGAACGGTCTTGATTGGTGGGAAATCCGTATTGCATCGATCAGAACAGGTTTGCAGCCTCTTTACTGACTAGTACCCGAGTAATTGCGAAGATTGTAGAGATCTGCTCCACAAAGGAATGAGATGCCGGGGAGTGGTGATGTCAGCGGGGATCTAGATCTATAGGTAGCTATTGAGAGGACTGTGACGCTACAACCTTCCGTCACCTCCGCAGTCAAAAGAATTTCGCTCCACTCAATAACATCTCGAGAATCATGATGGGCTAGACAATCTGTTGTCAGCTATAGATGATTCATCAAACCGTGCCTGATCGTCGCTCTCACATCGCACGTGACGTGACGTGACTAATAGCTAGACATCCAGCTGTAGTAGGAACTTTTAGTTAGTAGTATCGTATTTTCTGACTCGGGAGCACCCCTACAACTTGCTAGCCTACCAGTAATCATAAGTATTGTACCAGTCACGACCTACTTGAGTACTAGACCGTATCAGGAATTACAGGAAGCTGTCCTTCACGGACTCCATCAAATTTCCCTTCTTGTATAGCTTCTGTTATTCTAGGTGAGTTCTGTTGAGTCACCCCGAATTGCTACCAGGACACCGGGCCCGGTCATAGCGTCAATTAGTCAACTCCCTTCCCAAAATTGCTTCTGAGACACCCAAAATACGCCATTACTACTCCTGTGTCCTAAAAGCGCGCCACGCATCACGTCTTCAGCGGCTTCTCCTCCCGGCCATGAGAATGAGATGGTAAGTACGCTGTTACACTGTAGAGATAGTTAAGCCTATAAGAACAGGACGTGTGAACTGCTGTGAGAAGAATGTTACGTAGACAGGCTAGGTGCTGTAACACTCTAATCCCTCTAGCTATCATGGCCCGAACGAAATGTCCGAAAACAATGATACTTAATATCTAAAAGGAATTGCAAGCTGAATAGGGAAAGGAAGGGAGCACCGCAGCCTATAGCAGCCATCTTGCAAAAGCATTTTCAAGTTTCAAAAATTGTTGGTGGAAT